TTCCCTTCCCTTCCCTTCCCTTCCCTTCCCTTCCCTTCCCTTCCCTTCCCTTCCATTTTTTTTCCTCAGTATTGAACCGAACAACTGGAACTGGAATTGAAAGGGGACATGTGGAGCTGTTTTCTTTGACCAGGGATAGCAGTGCTTTGTAGAGCTCAGAACAACTCTAAATTTTGTAGCAGCTTTTCTCGTAATGGGGCAATTACTATTTTCCTCCTGGAGAGGATACAAACAACAGAAAATTGCAGCCTTCTTTTTAACTGACTTTAAGCAATTCCACAGAGAAGTAATTTATTGTAAGGTGTGTAAATGTTTGCAAAATATGAGCCTAAGATCATTTGCTTATGAATATAGCTGATGCTTTCAAACTAAATATGTAGTGAAGACCTCAGTCTTTAAGCCATACATATGTATTGTTTTGATGGTGTTTTGCTCTGTCAGATAGTGTGAATAATTCTTTTTGCATTCTTGTTCAATGCTGATTTTCTTCTTTTGCTTGTAAAGCAGGCACCAGTTGAACATCAGGAAGAGAAAACTGAACCTCAAGCTAGCAAAGGAGTGCTGCCAAGTTTGCACCAACCAAGCCTGGTAACATTCTGCATTATCTAGGAATGTTAAAATATAATAAGTTAATTGTTCTTCTATTTGCTTGCAGTGTTGTTAAGATAGGTAGTTCATATTTTAAACTGATAAAAGTGAAGGAAATGAAATCGTGCTTTAAAATATTTTAGTACTTCATTAATCATAAGTATACCTTTCTTTTTCTTGCTTTCTTGTTTTTGTTTCTTTACCTGTGCAGAATTCCACTTAAATTAAGTAGTGCAAGAATTAGGACCTTGGAGTCCAGAGAAGTTCATCTATATTCATACACACTCGTGCTGATCATTCTATGCCTTGCATTCAAACTGTTTTTAAAGTTTAAACACAAATAGATGTGTTTGGGGCTTTGTTAGTATTTAGAGGTGCTAATAATTTGTTCACTTTAAAGGATCGTATATCTCTTGATATACATCTATGATGTGTATATCGTCTCCTACAGTATTTTCAAAACATAAGTAACAGACTAGATTTTTTTTTTAAGATGAAATCTTTATAAATATTATTTAGTGTCAACTATTGCCTTTTACTGTATTTGTACATTTGGCCATTGAGCAAATGTTCGGCTTACGACAAAATTGTTGCACTGTTCTAGCTGCATCATAAAATACAGGTGAGCAGTGAATGAAAAAGTTCATATCAATAAATAGAGTATATACTCATATGTGTATATATATGAATGATCTGTCAGGTAGGACAAAAGGTTTTTTTGAGAAAATATTGTGCTTTCCCCTTTTCATGGACTTTTTCATTCCCTAAAAAGACACCAGTAATTGACAAAGAATCTCAAGCAGGAGAAAATGAACCTCAGCCTAAATAACTGTCAACACATATTAAGCAAGTGAAACAGGTAAGCTGGTTCAGTGCCACTGTGAGAGCTCAATAGTTTTCCCATGCTTACAGGTTTTGATGTTTTAGAGTGCACAGAGCTCTGCAAGCTTTTTTCTCACCACCTGCCCTTTAAAAGAAGACTCTCCTATAAAACAGGTCTCCATACTGGTCCTGCAGCTTAAGCTTAGAGGAAAAAACGAATTAAGGTTCACTCGGTCAGATGTTGGGTTAGGCTTCTAATTATGAGATTGGAAATAAGATTACAAGTGAAACAACATAAATAGACTCCCATCTACATTTAACAACTGGATGCCTTCCTGTAAAATGGCACAATACTCAAATCCATTTTTTTGGCCTTGCAGTATTTCACCCATTAGAAAAACTGTCATTAAGATACTGACTCTATTGAGTTTTTTTTTTTTTAATTAATATTATTTTATTAACAGAGCTCATGTACAAGTTTATGGAGATGGGACTACTGATGACAGGTTTGTTACTAAGGCCAAGCAATGTCTTTTCTTGAATGTTGTCACTTCCTGGGRTTCTGGTATTTCAAGAGTACCAACAGACACTAAAACCACACCTTACCTTGGTTCCCTCTGCAACTTTTACCCTTAAAGTACAGTAATCATTCATGTTATCATATGCTCGGTGCAAAATGTACTACTGTTTGCTGCAACATTATGTGAAAGACAAACAAAAATTATATATATTTTTATCAGKTAGTTATATGTGAAGAAATACCAGGTGGTTTTGGTCTAAGCATAAGTAAATGAGATGAATACAAGGTTGGATAAGCTACCTGAAAAGGCAGATGTGGATTTTGAAAAGAAGTCAATAACAGAAGCAAATGAAAAAAGGATTTAAAAAAAGATCTCAAAGTATTGATGGCAATATTGCTGCAGAGGAGGTTGTTTCAAGGGCCAGTCAATGTAAGATCAAAGTGAGACCAAGTGAAACCCCAAGGTGCAGGCAGCTTGCTCTGAAGAGCTAAGGAACAGTGGAGCTCTGAGTGTGTTTTGCAGGACAACATCAACATTGTCCCAGTGCTGCTTTCTGTGATGGGGCTAAAGTGACCACGTAGTGGAGGCCGAGGTGACCTGGTGATAACGGCYGAAGCAGTTTCCAGTTGGCTGCTGTTCTTCTGCCAGGGAGCCAAGGGTTTGGATTGCGGAGCAGCTGCTGTGTGAACCCAAACCCACTGCCCTTGCACGTGATGTTCCTCTTAGCATGGGGCCACAGGGCAGTTCCCCTGCGTTTTGCACCTCAGAACCAGGAGGAGGCCCACAGACTGGGAGGTGGAGGGGTGGTGGCAATCCTGCTGTCAGCCTGTCCTCCCCAAAGGGGCACTGAGGCAGTATTAGCTTGGTTATTTTTGCTAGTTGGATTCCTTAGCTTTCTTCCACTGGCTTGGGTAAAAATAACATTATTTTATTTAAAAAAAAAAATCTACTAAATTAAAATAAAGGAGACTGTGTAGGATTTTTATGTCTATAAGTCCAAAAATAAATGTTTTTAATCCTTTAGTAACTTTGCATTGAGGGTTTAAAATCCTATGTGCCTTCTATATTTAACTATAATGCTCAGTGTAATTAACATTCATAACCATCTTTTCTGCAAGCAATTCTAAGACTATACTCTGTAATGGTACCTTTACATTTATTGATTAATAAAATGAATATCCCAAATGATGTATAAACAGACACAGTACAGTCTCACTGATGGTAGGCTCTATAGCACTCTCAAGCAGTCAGGTTGTGTATTACTTCTAAATTACACACTTTTTGCCAGWGGAATAGTTTCGCAGTTAATTGAACTTCACAGGCCTAGGGTACTATGGTCATGTTTTTTAGACTACTGTTTTGGGCAGCAATACACTTCTGTAACACAGCAGTGATATTATAACAACACCCCTTAGTGGGTGCTCATTGATCTAACAAGAGAAAGTGGTTTGCAGGATTGGCACCTGAAAAGGTAAAGTAAGTTTGATTCTACTTTACAGAAGTACTTTGGTTCTGCTTAACAGAAGTACTAAGCAATTTAGATATTTAACTTAATTTGAAAGTGTATGCCTTCTCTGCTGCATGTAGAAATAATMATGGAGATAGCATTACAGAAAGAGAAAAAACTCTTCTGTGTTTCAGGATCCATATGTATTAACTAAATGCTCTATCCCATCATTAGCAGAACGAATTATATAAGGAATGAGAGCAATTTAATACATTTTAGCGTTCAAAGGCAGTTTTTTATGTTATCTTATTTTTTGAAATAACTTTGCTTTTCTTAGTGGGCTGAAAGATCCATACAATTTGAAGATAAATTAAGTGATTCTGTGTGCTGATGATTGTAGGAATTTGCTTATACACAAAACAATCAGATTGCAATAATACAAAATTTTTCATTAGTTGTTATAATTTTGCATATTACTTGTCTATTTCACAGAAAATACAAGATAACAGAACTTTTTTTTGACTTTTAAATRGCAGCTACAGTAGTTTTTGTTCTGTGACGATTGTCATATTGCTGACATCAAGACAAGTGCTGAGGATTTTCAGTTACTTCTGGTATAATTAACATAGTATATTTCAAAGTACTTGAGTATCTGGGCATCCCAAAAGCTCTTGATGGGAGGTTTTATTTTTTTTTAATTGGACATGACAGAATCATGCAGAAACATTTACCCGACATCCAAAATCTCCAAGCAATACTTCTACTTTTTATTATGATCCATTTAAGCAAATGTGCTTTTAAGTAGTATTTTTTTTTTTTACATTCCTTATTTTGTTAGACTCTTCTCTATCTATGATTTTGAACACTTTCTGGTTTCTACAGTAAACTGCAAATATCTGACTTCCATTGCCTGAATTTCTTCATGTAAGTATAATGCTAATACAACCAGTGGTGGTGTTTTCAGAAAGAAATGAAATAATAGATTAAAAGACTCCAGGTACGCGTTTTCAGAAAGTAATTATTTATTTAGATGTATTCTATACCRCTCAGTTATCTTTTACTTGCTGTTTTGTATTGTTTATGAATGATGAACATTGCCATATTTTTTTTCATGCAGTAATTGATATGAAGAATTTGCTGAACTTACCAGTAAACATAGGCAGTATGCCTTATTTTATTCTATTCTAAATTATGTAGGTGGACCAAGAGCAGTATCTTGTACTTTTATGATTAATTTAACCAGATATTTGACTGAAAAATCATAATTAGAAAGGCATATGGCCTCAAAATTTGTGTTTTTCTGGGTTCATATCAATTTCTGTGAGCCTCACTACCTGAATTATAACCTGGATTTATTAGGGAGGCCTTGGCAAAAAGAGGACTTAATTTGAATTATAAGAGAGAAAYGTTTTTCAAGACAAACACTTTAAAATTAATTTCCATTTTTATGCCATGAGTATACAGATTTATTATTTTGATAAAATTACGTTCCTGTATTGTGTTTGCAAGCATTTAACTGCAGTTCAGAAGAATATTGGTGGCACTATCCATTTTAAGAAGCTATTTAACAGATTTCAGGAAGCAATATGTAAAGAACATCAGAGATGTAAAGATCCTGAGGCTGGGTTTTATGACATAGTCACCCTGACAGCAATACTATCTTAAGAAGTTCCTTTTTCCTGCTATTTACCCCTGAACTGCATTGAGCTGCTTCCTGACAAAATCTCTGTGGGGAGTCACTCTGCAAAAAAAATTTAGGGATCTGGTTTGCTCTCTCCCTCCTTCCCCATAACTTCTTTTGAGGGGAGAGAAGGAGGGTGGTGGGCACTAGGTTTTTCAACATGGATCAGTTATCTGATCTGGTTTGTAGTGTGAAAAATATTTTTTGGCACACTGAGCATGTGGAGCTCTAATAAATAGGAATGAGCAGCTGTAGGTGGAAGCAGTAGGAATTCCTTACATCTCTATTGCTGCTGAACTTCCTACATTGAATAAATATAGCCTTGAAGAACCTTTTTCTGAAAGCTCTGTTAAACCATATGTATCTTGAGAAGTTTTCTTTAGAAATAGTTTATATTTCTGCTTTGAGTTTGCCTAAAGATGCAAGAAAATTTTAGATTCACTCATGCAATTTTAACGTGAATAGTTTTTGGTAGTAGCATAATTTTGGTTTTTTTTTATTCTCTGTTTAACAAATTTAACAATGCTTATTTTAGCAATGTTAACACCATGGCTTCCAAACTGTTTTAACTCTTTTCTT